TTAAAAGTACGTAATATAGTTGATACTGATAAATGTACTTTTTGTAACAATTTTCCTGAAACACTGCTTCATTTGTTCTATAATTGTATGTATGTCTTCTCAGTGCGTCACGATCTTGAATTGACCCTTGACGATAATTGTAATATTTCGGTTAAATAATAATTGTAATTTTTCATCAAAAGATGTCATCTTGGGATTAAATGTACTTAATTCTAATTTAATTTCAGACTACATTCTTTGTTTAAATTACCTTTTACTGCTGATGAAAAAATATATTTTCAATTGCAGGTACAAGAATGTAAAGCCATCTTTTGTAAATTTATGCAATTATTTAGCATACCAAAAGAAAATAGATATGTACAAAATAAGGATATACAATGTAAAATCAAAGTCTTTCAGATTATATTGGAGTTTATTAGATCAGCTATTGTGAATATATGTATTTTTTTTCCTCCATTATTTTATCTGTGTGTGTCTTGTATTTTTTATTATTTGGTGAAATAATAATAAATAAATAAAAAAAAAAAAGTATAGTTGCGTGATGAAGGTAGCATGAAAGTGCGCCCTCTGTCGGCACAATATTTGCCAGTTTGTCATGAACTTGAATGCTGGAAGTGGATTGCTTATTCTGCTCCCAACACCCCCGAAAGAGCGATAAAGACATTAATGCCTTTCTCACCAGAACTCACTACACATACACTCTAACGTAAACCTTGTCGTAATGAGTGTATTCGAATACGCCGATAAAAAAAAGAGTGCACGCTACTGCGCATGGGCATAACTGTCATTATTGCTGGCTTGGCTAGCAACGAAAAACAAAAATGGCGCAGCAGATGGCAGAGCCGAACTGTTTGCACTGGACTTGTGAAAACGTTTCTGACTGGATAGAACAACTTGGCCTTCCACAATATAGGGTAGGTATCTTCTCAGCAAAAGACGGCATGAACTCACGGCCTCCTTCCGTAAAAAGTTGGATTATCACTGTCTTACAGTTACGCGATCTGGTTGAAGAACATGGCTTCACAGTCACTCGACATTGTTTGGCACTTTGACTTTGTTCAAAAACGTCGTTTATTGCCAAACTCAAACAGGCTTAGTTAAGAATGTTTGCCCCCCCCCTTGTACACCGATTTTTATATAGGACTACTGAACACACAGCGACCGTACAGTGATTGTATTTACGATCCTGGCTTAATCGAGCACGCATTGATTGGTTACTTCCTGTTACAATGTTATTGTTCGCACGGAACTGTCCATGGTGTACACTTAGTCAGCTGGAGTCCCGAAGTGTAAGAAGCCCCATCTTTCTACACACGGGTGTACAATACATGTTGAAAGTATATTCAACTAAAAAAAAAAAAAACAGATTTATTTCCTTATTATAAATGTATTTTTTGTTTTGTTTGTAAATTTCGATTCCTTTTTTTCAAAGCCAACTACTAATAACTGTTTTCCTGTTTTCAGGAATGTTTTACCAGGAATCTTATCAATGGTAGGAAACTGATTTTAGTGGATTGTTCTCATTTACCACTGCTGGGAATTACAGATTTTGAACACATGAAGGTATGTTATTTTCAAATAATTAGACCCAGATAAAATGCATCAAGCCAGTTTTAAGATTGTTTCTTTCTGAACTTTATGCATTTGGTGTACAAAAAATTGTCAATGACGTGTTATACTCGTAATCTTAATTGCTAGTGTTTCAATAGACTGGCGAGTTTCAGTATGTTTCATAATTTTTGTCAAGCGCGTCATACAATTGCATTTATTTCATTCTGGATACAGGGTATTAAAAATGTATTTGACCACCAAAATAAGCTACTATAAATAGTGAAAATCCAGTACATACTTTTAGGACCTTGATTTCAATGGGCAATTAAATAATTTAAGAAGCATATGGGTACCAATCCTGATTTTATTACTAGTACGTGTAATGCAAATTCAGATAAATTCAGTTTTCATTTAGGAACACTGTCTATGTTAGTCATTTTAAACAATACCCAAGAAATGTGCTGAGTTCCAGATTTGCACACCAGCTATGTTTTCGTGGATTGTGCTTAATTTAAAAGGCTGGAAAATATAAACCAAGTATAAAATATTTCTGTATATGAAATGCCTGAGAATCTTTCATTGGTATTGCGATGAAGGCACTTGTTTACGTATTTTTTTTTCCTCCCCAATTATCTTTTTAGTTAATAGCCCGAAGTGTGAGAGAACTGCTTGGCATTGAAGATCCATACTGGAACAGAAGCATTTCACTGCCACCAAGAGAACCGATGGGAATGTTCTTAGAAGCCAAAAGTGTAACTGGACAAAAAGCAGATGCACTTACATATGCAAAATTTTTGAAAAATTATAAATCATAAAACTGGACTTCTTTCATATTAATACTAGATGTACATATTGTAATAGTGTATAAATATTATATTGTGATGATAAACATATTGGTTTCACAAATTGCCTGCAAATTGTGGTACAGTAGTGCTATTTCTTAAAAATAAAGACAAGTATCATTTTAAAGGCAGTATGATCACTATCTTTGCACGTGTGAATATCAGGGCATCTAGAGATCTTAGAATACAAGTATCTTGGATGATTTTCACATGATGAAAGCGATAATTGATTTTGATGATATAAAAAAAATATATCGCGGTATGTACGGCCATGAGAACACAGCGAAATGAAAGAGTTTAATGTATGTGGTTTGTTTTGTGTGGAGATTATAAAGTATGAACAAAAACGGCTAATATAGTCCCAGATAAAAAAGCTATACAAATGCAGGGGAATGAAATTTACTAGCGCTGTGATTGTTTGTACATCGATTCTCCAATAAAAATACAGAGTGTCACTTGCTCAAACAGAATTCAGAAGCCGAGGCTAATTTCAGCAACACAATGTTCTTTTGCATCATTGTTAGCAATATGGTACCGTATTTGATCTATTAGAAGCACATCTCCAATAGTAGTGCATATAAACCCAAAAATGCATTTCTTGTAAGCTAGATAATTTTTTTACCACAAACTTGCCTCTAACGTTTACATAATCAAACAATTTAAGAATATAATTGTTTTCATACCATTGTGCCTTAAATTGTCTTTGACCAAATTTAAACAAATTCACTGAAAGTGTGAAACTGGTAGGATATGCGAGAAGAAACAAAATGGCCACCAGTCGGTCATTTTCAGTCAAGTCTTGAAAATAAATGACGTACATCAGCAAAAACACCTCTAAGTTTGAATGAAACCCCACCAGGCATACTTGAAATTCAAATATGATCAAATGTTTTTTCAAATTTGTTTACGTCTAGTCTTTTGTAACAACTTAATTTATTAGTTCTGCCATTTCCAAAAAAAGAACACAAGAAGTGGGTCATGTTCAAATCGAATCACAAAACAAACTGACATGCAAACAAACTAAATTGGCATTCACATGAAGCCATTAGGCCTGCCTTTGCACTAAATTTATATACAATTAAGTACATCAAGGAAACTGTGAAAGAAATTCTGTATGCTGAGAGTATTGGACACAAGTTAAAATTAATTCGAAATTTATGCCTTTCAAACAAGAAGCTTGGCAACTAATATTTGTCTGCTGTTTGAGATGCACAACATGAAAACAATGATCAAAATTTATATTTACAGAAAATACATTTGATTTTACAGTTGCAGTTTTCAGTCTCAATTCCATACCACCTCTGTCATATTTTTTGAGATGGGCCAATACTAATTAGATAATCAATACATGTTTTTCAACATTAAAGTGCCTGTGCAATGCCCACCCACACGCTTCCCATTTTAAATCTGAGCCCCACTGAAATGGGCAATTATTGATTTTTTTTGCTGAAAATGATTACTCATATCCAAGTAAATTTGAGATATTTCCTGTGCTGTAGCCACGCCCACCTATCCTGAAACGGTCGACTGTTTCCAGATTTCCGACTCTCGCCGAAAGTGCGCCACCAAATGCTAAAATATGAGAGGAAGCCATACCCCTGGGCCGTACTTTTATATCACTGTGTCATTTAACATACTTATAAACGATATACATTTTTTGATCGCCGTTTCTTTTCTTTTTTTTGTATTTTATTTTTGAGAAAGCGAATTTTTTCACAACAAACATTTATGATGGTTAAACATCTGTGGATTACCCAATGAACTAAATTATGCATAGATTTAGGTCTGTGTATTGTTCCAGGTCACACATGTACCAAGTTTTATTATGTGGTGATTAATCCTAACAAAAATTGGTGAAAAGCTGAAAAGTAAATTATTATGCAAATAAGGTACCATAAACATTATTGATGTATATAAACCTGAAACTAATATGGTGTTTACACGTGGGGAAAAAGCCAGCTCCAAGGGGGAGCCGGTGTTAAAAAAAATATGTGTAAACAGACTAAGACGGCGTTGTGCCATCTTAATTGAAGCCATTGAAGTTGTGGGTTTGAGCCAGCACCAGATCTAAACAAGACATTGCAATACGTGTAAACACTTGAAGCCGTCTTTGAAGAGCGCCATCACGCGACCAGCCTTGTTCTGACGCTTAACTTTCACATTCAACATGGCAGTTGATGACAACGTAAATAGAGCTCGCGGAAATACGTGGTCGTATGGCGAAACACAGTTATTAATAAATGTTTGGAAAACCGAATGCGCAAGAGAAATGATGGATGGAACTAGGCGCGACTCTCGTGTTTATAGGATTATTTTGTCAGAAGAGGGCGCAAAAAATGATGACGTCATGCCGATCTAAACTAAACCAGCAATACGTGTAAACGCTCCAGAGTTTTAAACCACTGATAAGGATTATTGACCGACCTAGTTTAGGCTATCCTTTCCCCCACGTGTAAACACCATATAATCAAATTGTCACATTGCCTTAGAGTATAAACTAATAAGACTCGTTGAAATAAGATAAGTACTTGGGATATCAAATGAAAAGCTGAAAACTGACTAATCATGCAAATCAGGTAATTAATATGCAGAGATTTTCCATCTGCGCAATCCAAAGTATGTCCGACAAACAAAACCAAAATGCCATGTCCAATTGGAACTAATTAGGTTTAATTGCAACTACACATGCAGTGTATTTTTTGTATCTCAACCATGTATGCATTTCATTGTTTAAAATAATAAGCTTCTAACAGATTGTATTTCAAATATTTTTTATTGTTTAAAAGTGATTATAATGATACATTAACATGATTAGAAGTACATTATACTGCCTTGGCAATTAATGTTTTGACCTAACACAGCTTTGTGTTCAAAAATAGGAAACAATACAATTTTTTTTCCTTCAAATTTGGATACTGAATATAAAAAGAACAGTATATATATATATATATATATTCAGTAAAATAACATGATTGTTTTATATGATATATTTGTATCTGTTGTATTTATTGGTGGCACCTAAATAAATGTGACGCACATTCATGCTCTACTCAAACAGCATGTGTCTAAATAGACATGTATATCTCTGATTTCTCTACAAATAAGAACACGTAAATAAACTGACAACCATCTCTGTGAGTACAAGATTTAAGATCCAGTCGATTCATTACCATCATCGCTTTCTTCATTTTCATAATACACTTTGAATGCTTCATTTTCCGCCAAAACTTCCTGCAGAAATAAAGAACTACAAATAAGGAGATGACTCAGAAAGTCCCTGGTTATTTTTTATTAGTAGTGTTTGAAAACATTATTGGCTTTTTATGTAGGACTGAGCTCCAAGGGAATGAATTTTCAATGCTATTTCATATAAATAAGATTAAATATAACCATACATATATATATATATGCATGCATGCCTGCCTAATTGATCCAGGCATGACTACAAGGCATGAAATACAAGGCAGGACATACCAATGGATATTTATAATGGATGATCACTGACTGGCAGGTGGAATAGTTAACAGACTGACAGCATTCATGGAAATACAGAGATACACTGCTGCTATTTAACACATCATTATGGTCTCATACCACTAATTAGACGACAATGTCAGCAAATTTCTCTAAAAAAAGGGTTACAAAGATCAAAATATTGCTTTAATTTGTTAAAGCCAGAAAAACACATGTTGGCCAGCTCAAACTCCTATAAAATGGATGTAAACAAAATATGTGTTTACAGTTGCCCAGATCTGGTACTTGTCAATAAACACAGCTACACACACAAGTCAGGGCTCAAAATTAGTGGTAGCCCCGCGTCGGGGGGGGGGGGGGGGGCACTTAATGCAAATGGTATTATAGGGACGTGTCCCCCTTTGAGGTCTTAATTTTTTACTGTTTGGGTCTAGAATGGGGGTATAGATTTGCTTGCCTTTTGGTCCAATATCAGTTTGCCTGGTCTAGAATGGGGTATGTTTTTCCACTTTCCATGTATTTACTTGAGTTTTAGTATTTTTATTGGTTTTTTATCGGCATATTTTCACGTAGCGGATCGTCTTAACCGGGCGCAGAAGTCTGCAACTTTAGGCCACCATTTATCCCATTAATGATCCCCACAATTCAATGTGTTCAGTGTGTATGAAATCAGCGCATGCGTAGTGAAGTCATCAACATGGCGGGAATTGACGGGTGCAAGACATATTTTTACAGCGAGTTCTTGGATCAAGTGAAAGAGAATCTCAAGAAATTATTGACAAGTTTAAACGTAATTTTACAAATGTTTACATGAATTGCGTATTGTATATTCATTTTTATTGCTGTGGTGTTTGACATGACCCATCAAGATTTGTAATTTCTTTTGGGGGCCTGGATCGGGGGACTGGGATATTCGTCTGGTATAAAGTTTGGATGAAAAACTACCCGGGGAAAACTGTTATTGATTTTT